GAGCCCGAGGTCACCGAGCTAGAAAGTGGCAGAGCTAGAATCTGAGCCCAGGTAGTCGGGACCCAAGCTGCGCCATCGTCATTAGGCAATGCTGTCAAGTCTGGAGCCAGCATGTCGAAAAAACATCCCATCTGGGTCACCCCCACTAAGTTACCTCCCCTCTCCATGCCTCTGCTTCCTCAGCTCTAAAGTGGGGGCAGTGGGCTAACGACCTTGAGGAGCCGCTGTTAACTTGGTTAACTTGGACAACTGTGGTGACGCACATTTACTGAGCACAGGCTCTACATGAACAAACTCAATCCTCACCAGAAAGGGCTTAGAACACTGCCTGGCACACAGTAAGTGTGTACTAAGTGTCAGCAATGAGTGTTACCGCTACCACTACTGCATGTTCACAACAACGCTACAGCACATGAAGATCACATCCACTTTAGAGACAAAAGCTACGTGGAACAGTGAAATCAGGTAACGTACCTGAAGTCACCAGTTCTAACTGCAGAAGCTGCTATTCAAACCTGGCTCTATCTGCCTCCAGACCCCTTTTCACCAGTCCCCGCCCCACCCCCCGGCACCCAGCACAGGGCACTCACACCAGTTACATCCACAGGGAGGCTGTGCTCTCACCTGGGAGGAACCACCCCTGAGAGTACCCCCCTGCCGGGCCCCAGGAGCCCACCGTACCTGTAAGGAAGGGCAGGAGCTCGCTGCGGGTCCTCTCGACGCCGAGGGCCAAGGCAATGGTGGACAGCTTCTTGATGCTGTTGAGGCGAAGCTAACGAGAGGACAGAAAAGGAAGGAGAACGTCAGCCTGCCCAGACCCTGGGGAGCCCGCCAGCCCTGGACCCAGCCCAGACCCCGGGGAGCCCGCCAGCTCTGCACACAGCCAGCCCCAGGAAGCCGAACGACAACTTGGCAAAGCCACCAAGTGACTCTGTGACCTTGAGTGACTGAATTACAGTGGGAGTGGCAGCCTCAGCACAAGCATCCACTGGTCTTACTGAGCCATGCCCCTGGTGGCACCTTCCAAGACCACTCCGTCCGAAACTGCACCCCACCCCCAGCCACCCCTTCCCCTCCTTCTGTTTTTGCCTCCCGCCTGCACTCAGCATCAGCTAACATTCTGGGCCTCGGACTCTGACGGTGCCAGCCCCATCCTAGATCGCTCCATGCCTGGTCCCAAGCCAAACACTCACTCACAGTGTCTCATTTAACTCTCACCACCAGCCAAGGGCAGAGGGTTACAAGCCCTGCTCCACAGAAGAGGAAACAGGTTCAGGGAACGAAAGTCCCTTCCAAGGGTCACACAGTTCAGATGGTGGAGTGGGCACCAAAACCCAGGACTGCCACCTAACAGTGATGATAATAGAACAGACAATGTAATAACACTGCTACAAAAAACAAGACTAAACAGCAGTAATGATATGACTAGTACAGTGGGTTGAACAGTGACCCCCCCAAAAAATATGTCCCAGTCCTAACCCCCAGCACTCATGAAGGTAAAATATGCAGATTTAATTAAGTAAGCATCTCAGATGAGATCGTCCTGAATTAAGGGGCAGGGTGGGGCCCTGTGAAACAACAGGAAAAAAGTATTTGTGTGTGTGTGTGTGTGTCCACCCCCGTTTCTGGTTCCTAAAACCCCTGTAGTTTCCTCAGGCCCAGCATCTCTGTGTTAGGACCTCATCTGATCCTCCCACCCGGCCCCAGGAGCACGGCTGACTCCACCTTCTCATCACCGGAGAAGCAGGCTCAGAAAGGCGAAGACACCTCACTAAGTGAGCACAGTGCCGGCTGGGATCCACACCCAGCTGCCCAGCTGCCCTGACCAACTGTGAAACCTCCCCTCCCACGTCTCTGTCCCATCTCAGCCCCAACAGCGGGGCCTGGCCCGCCCAGTCCCAGGGCTGCAGCCAGAACACAGTGAGCTCATGTGGGAGAGAGGGAAGGAAACACCCTCGGGAATGAGTAAGCTGCTGCCAGGCCCCAGCGGGAATCCTCTTCCAGGAAGGAGAACAAGAAGGGCCCAGGGTGAGGTGATGCCCAAGGAACGGGCCCTGGAGAACCGGGCCATCTCAATTGCGGTGGAGAGCCCCCTTCCTTCCACTGCCGCCTCCGCAGATTCTAGTTTCGGTTTTGTTAAGACTATATCTGCTGGTTTCTTCAGCACAAATGGTACCCTGACGTTCGAGAAAGGTGGTGCGTTAGATGCACTATCTGGGTTCCAGGCTAAGCTGGTTCAGTGCCCACTCCACCATCTGAACTGTGTTAGCTGTGGGATTTTGGGACACTCTTTGTACCTTTCTGCGCCTCAATTTTCCCATCTGTGAAATGGGGGGGTTATAACACCTATCCACAGAAGGTGGCTGAGAGTACAGAGTAACGTGACACTGGGAACACCCTGGCACCAGGGGAAGATCAGTGGCAACCTCACTCAGGTGACAGCCTGCTGATTTTGTTCAGGTGTCAGGGACATGGGCGCCAGGCAGCTAGCTGTCCAGCAGTGTCTCTCTTACCTTCTCTCATGGGGACACAACAATAGTTACTAATGTTTCCAGGGTACTCACTACAGGTGTTTTAATGTTCTAACTCATCTGATCCTCACAACTTTGTAAGGTAAACACAGGATCACTCATTTCATAGCAGAAAAAACAAAACCTAACACAGCTCCTCGCAGAGCAGGATTTGAACAGCAGCTACTTGGCTCTCAGCCAGTATCACTGATTCGTATTTCTGCTTCCTGGATTCTCAATTTGGGGGTGCGTCACAGACCCCTTGGCAGGTTTAAAAACAACCACAATTTTGAAATAGAGGTGCGTATAAACAACACTAGAAGTATCTGCAACAGCTGAAATGAGCTGTGAACATGATCACAATTACCACTGGTGACACAGTCGCACCAGTATCGCTGACACTACTAATTACACACTAATGTAATATTATAATTCGTAATAGAAGGAAAGTTACATTTGAGTTAGGGATGGGTGAAATAAAGATGTTCTTTCTCCCCATCCAAATTCACAGGCCTGCCCGGAATTCTAGAAGGGCCTCTAGTTAAAAGTTCCTGCACCCGGCTATACTGCCACTCATAACTTCTGCTTTTCAGCTGTGCACATGAACCCCAGATAAAGACATTTCCGAATCGCCTTTGCATTTGGATGTGACCATGAAACTAACATGCAGCTGATGAAATCCAAGTGGGAATGGTCTGTGTGACTTCTGGGAAGTGTCCTTATGGGGAGATGCGGTCATACCCTTCTTCCCTCCTTCCTATCTGGAATGGGGCTACAATGGCTGGGGCTTCAGCAGCCTTCTTGGGGCCTTACAGTGACCTGGGGGTGGGAGAGCAGGCCAGAGGATATGCGAACACGAATGTGTAAGAGGCTGGGATCCTAACGCCAGAGTGCCACACCAGCCTGGACTGCCACCAGACTTTGATCATGAGTCAGAAATAAACCTCAAGCTCATTTAAGTCTCATTTATTTGGAGCTTTCCTATTATTGACAGCCAAACTTAACCCCAACTAATTCAGCAAATGACCTAGTTCTGCACAAAGACACAAGGACAAGTCGGCTGAAGAGCTTCCAGGATAGACTGTCCTCCTTGATAAAAGAGAGGAGACCAAGAACCTGGGTCGGCCTCTGTTTTCAGGGTGGTTCCACAAGAACGTAATGACAACAGATGACACAGCAATCTTGTGGCCCTACTGTGACCCAATTCTGTGATATCCTTGAGCTGCTAGATCTGAGATGTGAGGAGAAAAGGAATCCTTACTCGTCTAAATGACAGCTGGGTGAGTTCTCTGGAATGTTTCTGACTGAGCAGCTATTAGTAAGAAATCTTTACTGTCCCTTGATCATGTCACAGCCACAGGACTCCACTGCGCACTGTCCCCCAAGCGTGTCCCGTCCTGCAACTACCATTCAAGGCCCACCACATTCCACACATTTGGCTCCACGACAGCACCCACCACCCCGGGCAGGGACTACACGTGTCCTCAGCAGCCTTTGCACACAGCCGAGTACATGGCCACGTAAGAAAGGAAATGCCCCTTCCCAGTACTGCATCCCCCTACAGAAAGGCTACTCACTTTTTAAAACCCACTTCACACTCAGTCCACCCCCCTTCCCCGATATGAGCACACACAGGGTCATCCCGCAGGCAGCGCATCTCCCCTTCACAACCTGAGTAAAACCCGAAGGCCTGCCTAAAGGCCACATGGCCAACACGAACTCGTCCCCAGTCTAGTGATCCCCTCTCACTTCCCACCCCTCCCCTTGCTCCCTGGGTTCCTGTCACAGTGGTTTCCTTGACAGTAACTGAAATGCAAACGTGCAGGCAGCCCAGGTCTTCATACTTGCTGCCTTGCCAATCCTCCAGCCTGAGACACCTGCCCCCAGGCCTCCAGGCCTCCCCGCTCACTTCATCCAGGCTCTGCTCCATCCTCACCGTAGGACGACCCTGGGCAAAACAGCACGCACCCACCACCCTCTACGTATCTTAACCTCCATCATTTCTGATCACTTCTGACGTAGGCAGCTGACACTTGAACAAGGTGGGAGTTAGGGGTGCCCACCCTCCGAGCAGCTGAAAATCTGAGTAAAAGGGATAGTCAGCCCTCTGTATCTGAAATCTCGCATCTGTGGATTCAACTAACCGTAGACCTCATAGTAGCACCGCAGTATTTACTGCTGAGAACCACCTGCATGTAAGTGGACCCGCACAGGTCACACCCCAACTGTACTTCTTGGTTCACTGTTTCTCCTTCCTCTCTGCAGTGTGGGCTTCACAAGGGCAGGGACTGTGCCCCCGAATCCTAGGACTGCACCTGGCACAGAGTGAGAGTCCAGTAAATACCTGCTGGATTAATTTTCGAAAATAAAGATTA